GCCCAGGACGGGCAGGTAAGAAGACAGGAGGACTGCAGGAACCAGGAGAATCAGAGGACCAGGACCAGGACGGGGACATGAGTAGACGACCAAGGCAGGTGAGCAGACAGGCGAACGGTGACAGGTGAGATGGCAGGAGGGACACAGGGACGAGAAGACAGGGCAGGTGTAGCACTCGTTATTGCGCCCGCCATCAGATATCTACGGAACTGAAATCAATAGCACAGGAACTGTCAGTATTGAAATCACGTATTGTCTGGATAACACATATAATGCTCCGGCGACGAAGGAGCGTCTGCCAGGGGTTTACGGTATGTAAGAGTGGTTTAATTAGTGGAGACTACCGTCAGCTGTGCACCACGCCCGGGAGTCAAACAGGCGAATGCGATTCAGCTGTGTCGCTGAGCCCATGGGATGAGAGAGCAGGGGAGAGAAAGGAGGAAGAGAGGCAGGTCGCGCCGAGCGGACTTGACACTTTACACTTTCACACACACAACTCAGTAACTTAATTTAATAATCCCTTTGCCTCCTTTGTTAATGTTTGTTGTCTCATTTACTATGTTATGTTCTGTGTCCTGTAAATGTTTTATTTTGTGTTAAAAAAAATACTTTTTTTTTTAGGAATGGGCACAATGGTGGCAGACTTAAGGCATGCTGGTACTGTGTAGGAAGCCAGTGAGAGGTTGAATATGGTGGTAAAAACCTCAATAAAGGTTTAAAGATTTATCTTTATCTTTATAGTGAAATCAGAGCAGGTCAGTGTGTTTTCATGAGTCATCTGATTGGGGCCCTCATTGATTCTGAAGGTTTCTGATGCCCTTCTGTGTCTTTATCTTTATTTTTAACAGGACAGAGTTGAAATCACTGTAATCCAGTCTGGGTCAAAGTGGAATATGAACACATGGAGAGAAGCCGAGATTGTTTTATAATTTGATTTCCAACAATTTGTTCTTTTGTAAGTGACTGTGTTTTGACACATTCACCTGTTGTTAAAGCAACATCCAGAAAATGTTCAGGTCACTTGATCAGACTGTGAACAGTGTGGGTTTGTATTTCACACACTGTGGGGACTCAGTGTCCTTTTGTGAAAAAGAAGCAAGTACCCGTAATTAAATTTTAGTGTCATGTCTTCATTAACACTTTTAATATACAGTATTTTGGTTTAAATTGAGGTTCTGGTAAGTCTCCAGGAAATGAATGCAAGTCAATGTAATGTCCCCTGAAGTGACAGAAACAGGACTCTGTGTGTGTGTGTGTCCTCAGTCAATTGTATCAGTCTGCGCAGTAGCCTCCAGCTGCATATGCCATGTACTGTCGACCTGTACTGTTTACATTCTCAGTTTGCACATGCATAATTGCACATTGACTGTTGACTGCTGCACATGCTGCTCCCATGCAGCATACATTCTCTCAAGGTGTGCTAGCTCATATTCCTATTATGGGACCGTACAACACACAGCATCTCCTTACATTCTTAGACAATCTCTATAGAAATGTCATTCCTGAAGATGAGAGGGACCTCAATCGAGATGATGTACCAAAGTATGTAGTAATTTGTGATAATGTCAGTTTCCATCGCTCTGACAACATCAGGCAGTGGTTTGTCCACCACCGCAGGATGCTGATTGAATTCCTTCCACCCTACTCCCCATTCCTGGACCCAATTGAAGAGTTTTTCTCGGCTTAAGTAAGCGAAACTGAATTAATGTTTATATGTGTAGAAATGATACATAGCTGTTGAAAGCAAAGAGTGACTTCAGACTGACCAGAGAACGTTTTAATGAATAAATACATAATAAATATATCATTTTTTTAATCATTATAATATCTAAACATTATAATAATTTGTGTGTATATGTGTGTGTGTGTGTGTGTCGCCAGTGAAGTCTATGCAGTAGCTTCCAGCTGCAGCAGTCAGTTGAGTTTCTGTTCAGTCTGACTGAGGGAGGTTTTTGTACAACGCTTTTTCATTGTGTGAACACATACTGACTGTTGATGTAGTGTTCACTCTGACAGTAGTAAACTGCTGCATCTTCAGCCTGGACTCCACTGATGGTCAGAGTGAAGTCAGAGTTTGATCCACCATCATCAAAACGACTTGGAGTCCCTGACACTCGACTGTTAACATAGTAAAAGAGCAGTCTGGGGGTTTCTCCATTTTTCTCCTGGTACCAGGCTAAATAGTTCCCATTATAAACATTCTGATTGACCCTACATCTGATGGTGATGGAGGCTCCCAGAGCAGAGCTGACAGCTCCAGGCTGAGTCACTGTGACCTGGCCTCTGGACTCTGAGGACACAGAGACAAACACATAAAGCAGCGTCGTGGTTTTGTCGGCTTCATTTCAGAGGGACGGATGTTCATAGAGGAGAGGAGCTGGATTCTCTGGACTTTACCTGTGAAGCAGCAGCAGAGGAGAGTCCAGATGAGGACGGAGATCAGAGTCATGTTTCTGATGAGGAGGATTTCTGTGGCTCCTGTTGTCATGAAGGACAGCTGTCAGTCCTCCAGTGTTCAGCTCTCAGGACTATAAACTCTCCCAGAGCACTGGAGCATATGGTGCTGCTGATGCAAAGTGGCTCTATGGAAATGCTCTGACTGAGTCCAGCAGGAACTGGGATCCTTCTGGTCAGTCTGGGATCAGTGGATCAATCATATTGTCAGAGGACTGATTAGGAATATGTGTGATCAATTTATGTGGATGTTAATTAATGACTGAATACATTTCTTTAAGGACAGTCTTCTGTCTTGTTGAATGTTAAAAAAAAGGTGTTTAAATTGACTATATTTGGAAAAAATGTGAGCAGTGTTGCTTCACTTTTATGTTAAATAACTTTTTTTTTTTTAAAAACAGGACTATTTTAGTTGTGTTTGTTGTTGTCAGAGTCACAGAGCCGTGTCTCTGCAGTCAGAGGTTTTTGTACGACGACTCAACCAGTTTGTATCACTGTGGTACACATTCGGTGGAGGAACCAGGCTGGATGTGGGAAGTAAGTTACATTTTTATTGTACTTTATACAAGTAAAATGTTGTAAGGATTAATAATGTTTTTGCCCCTGAATCTGAAATGCCACATTTGACATCTTTAATGGAATTTTTTCCCAACAATGAAAAATATTTTGTCAAATTGAAGATGAGAATGTTGACTCAAAGTATGATAGGGGTTTGGTCCACAATAAGAACCACGTACTCAGATTTATAAATGACAGAAACTTGAGGACTTGTAGTTGTAGTTTAATCCGAGTCACAGAGTAGTGTCTCTGCAGTGGCTCAGTCAGTTTGTATCACTGTGGTGGACTTTTGGTGGAGGAACCAGGCTGGAGGTTGGAAGTAAGTTTCTGGTCAAATCTTAAATATTGTAGCATTAATTAAGTTTGTAATTTCAGGGTGTGAATATTTGTAGGTCGACTTAATTTCCAGTTAATTTAAATATAATCTTAGTTTTATCATTAATTCATCCATTTTTCCTTGAAACTGAACTCAGAGCAGCTGTACTGAACTTTTTGAATAAATTTTTGAAATGTAAACAACTTCAACTGAACATGAAAATGAAAAATGATTTCTAAAAAAATCTTAAAAGTTTTCTTTTAACCTCAGTTTGGAATAATTTTGACCCTTTTTCTGTTGCAGTTTGTGATGAGTTTTTCAATATAGTCTTAATTTTTTTGTGGTAGATCATGCCCTGTAAAAGAGTATCTGTTCATCCTTGGTGCTTTTGATCATTTTGACAGTTAATATGTTTAACTATAAATATACCAGGTCTTTAAAATCTGAAAACATGTTCAAACTGTATTTTGTACTTTCTGTCAAATAGTTTTAAAAACAGTGAGATGCAGTTGTTGGAAAATTAAAATGTTTCTTTTATTTCTGGAGTAATTTGACATGTTTCAGGTCAAACTGTGATGATTGTCTCAGTGCTGATGTGCATGAGCGGCTTCTCAGAGGGAAGTGAAACAATGTGTGAGTGAGTGACTGGTGGAGCAGAAACACCATCTGACAGAAACTCCTTAAAGGAGAAAATCCACTCTCACACAGTAAAGGTGTCCAGGTGTCTGCTGTTTGATTGACAGCCGTGTGGTCCCTGTCCTCTAAGCTGATTGGTGTCTCCTAGGTGATGCCCGTCCCACCCTGACGATGCTGGCCCCCTCCAACAAGGAGCTACAGCAGGGGAAGGCCATGCTCATGTGT